GTGTGTGTGTGTGTGTGTGTACGTGTACTTCAGGCTGTGTTGAGATAAAGTTTTTACACACCCAGGGGCTCAAACCCTTGATAAGTCGGCCTACTGTTCACTTGACACTTAATTTGTGAAGTTGATTTCAGGAATAGACTCAGTTCATAGTTTTATCACAGTTGTTTTGCTGATAAATCAAACACACTTGAGATAACGAGTAATATAATACTACACACTATACTCCACTTTTGAGCTTCATTCATTTTCCGAACAGAGATTCTGATGGCAGACTCACCAGCGGATGTTTACCTCGATCACAGAGATTGACATTAAGTTAATATTCTATACACTATTGGAACACTATATACAAACATATGAGACACAAACTACATTATATTGCACCACTATTTTAGTCTGTACTATTTGATTGTGTTGTTTCTTGTCCAGTTGTGGCTCAAAGTAAAAGGAGAATTTGTTTTATGTCATTGTAGTTATTACATGTTTGACATTTCCTCATGGTGGTGGATTAATATTCAGCAAACACCTACATGTCAGCAGAGAGACTCTCCCACAGGCCTCTCTGTGTCACATGACATGTGAATGGTAAGGGGAAGCCCTGCGCCCTGGTCATTTACACGGAGCCGTCAGTCTAAGGCGGCTGCTTCCTGTGAACTGGCGGAACGACCAAAGTGATCCACACAGAAGTCACCGGGGGGGGGGATGTGAGTCCATCTGTGCAGAGCTGTGAATAAGGTTCTGCAGAACACGTCTTCGTGGTATATTTCTCATAAATTTCCACAACATCAGGACCAGTTTTCCTTGATTTCATCCTTAAAACAGATGAAGTGTTGACGGATGTAACACCTAAAAGGGCTGAAACACAAATGCCCAGTGTTGAGCTGGGCTGCAGACATGAAGCTCTGGTGGAAACAGTGGCCGGCTTGTTGTCTTTCCTGTCTGTGTCTCTGGGCTTCAGACTAAGCTGCGTGAGTGCCAGCTTCCCATTCACACTGATCACACATTAGACTGATCAGACTGCAGGCCTGCTTCCTGACTAACTCAATTTGTTCTCATGCGCTTCCCCTTTCACACACGTGTGCTTGGAAGCGTGCACACAAGCAGAAAACCAACAGAGAGCGGGGCAGTACCCATTGAGCTTTAATGAAAAGCAGAGAAAGCCGTTACCTTGGCAACTGCCAGCACACATCTTCGGGAGGACCCAGATTTCCTGTCTGACTGCGGATCGTATTGTTTTGGTTCTGTGTTGATCGCCGTGGCAGCCCCTGGACGGATTACCTCAACAATTTCTGCTAAATCACCGTCAATTAAAGGGAGATTAAAGACAAAACGTGCACAGATAGGAGGCCGTCGTAGATTTACCATCGCAGGATGCACAAAACCCCCGAAACAAATGGAATCAATTGGGATAAAAGGTGATTTTCATCTTGGCATTGAGACACTTTCTCCTCAGCTCTGTGCGATTTATCCAAATTACCCTCGAACATACAAAGATGTGTCGTCACGGTTTGAAAGAACATGTTTATTTACGTATCATCCACAGAAAAAAATCATCCAAATGGAGACAGATCTTTTTTTTCTGTTTCTGAAGGATGAGTGTTTTTCCAAAGCCTTACAGTACAGAAATACACCACACCCATTCAGGAGCTTTCTGGTCCATGTTGTTTTCATCATTATGATTCTCATCACTATCAATGTAATCAGATTATTATTATTATTATTATAATGATCATAATTGCCCCTGATTGTTATCTTTGTCTTTCTCGGTCTAAAGAGGAAACAAATCAGTCGCCTGTGGTATTACTCAGCGTTTACGAGATGCAAGTTTGGAGGAGGGGAAGGAGATTTACCTTTTTTAGCCCTGTGGAGGTTCTGGGTGTAATTTAACCAAACGTGTCGATATCTCACCGACCACAATGACAGTTAACTATCCCGTCGCCCTGTGGTTAAAGAAGACAGCGTAATTAACTGTGTGTGCAGCGTGTTCTCTGTTGTTCCTGTGTTTGTGATGACATCTCTGGTGACTATTATTGCACTTGCTTCATTCTACAGTTGCAGAACAGGAAATGCAAAACTTCTGTGACTAAAATGCAGCAAATTTCCAGAGGAAATGTGCGTTTCGATCAGTGCGAGAGACTTTGTTTTTGTGGCTCCTCTCTCTCACCAATCAGACTTTAGTCCCTGTGTTACCCACAATGCACAGGTCAGAGATTTTGAGTGTGTTATACAAGCAACAAGCAGAGATGATCACTTCTGCAGCGGCAGATATCATTGTTTCATTTTCGAACAGTCAAATACAACATCACCATTAAAGGAGGAATTGGAGATTAATGATTTAAAAGAAAAAAAAAGCTCCTCTTTAGTTTGGTAAAGCTCTGAACATTTATTATTCTGCGACTTGGTCATTCATTGTTTGTTATGGATTTGGAAATGACTGTTGTTCCTCTGCTGCCTGAGTGTGTCACATCACTCCCTTCACACCCAGCATCACTTAATAGAGGCTCCTGCTTTTAACAGACAATACAAGACAATACAAGACAATACAAGACAATAGGTGACATACTGTGCTGGTTCCTGGAGACACATCGACTGACAATAAAGTAACCTTGTGTGGGATGTACGTGATGTGGCAGCGCTCACAGAATGATGATCTTTTGTCAGGAAAATGGTTTGGAATGGTACAGAAAGAGTAGCAGTACAGAAAATGAAGGATGAAATCCAATTTAAAGTTGAATTAATTATGAAATAAAGAGATATGACCATGTCCGGGTGATAGAAAAATGATAAGAAGGTAACTCAACAATAAAAACATTCGTTATTTGCAGCCCTAGTGTATTTAAAAGTTATTTTACATCTGCTGTATCTTCCATACATGTTTACATCCTGTAAATGAGCTGATCATCACATTGTATTTGTTTACTCTCTAACTCTCCAGCCTCAGCTAACACTCCCCTCTCTCTCCCCCTCAGACGGCCTATAAGCCCTGGCTCTGTGCTCAGTACTTCCCCACCACCCAGCAGTCCTGTAAGAAGAAGGTGCCGTGCCGGCAGTACTGCCTGGAGGTCCAGCAGAGCTGTCCGTTCATTCTGCCGGATAACGACGACCTGATCCACGGAGGCAGCCCCAGCTTCATCTGCACAGGTTAATACCCCCTCACACCTCAGAGGAAGCCCTCTTAATGTAATTACTGCTGGTGAGTAGCGTTTTATAAAGGGATGCTCCGTGTTAGCTCATCCTCAATGAGCTTCCACACAGCCTGGATCTTCCTGGAGGGGTTTGGAAAGGCTTTCTGATGACATCTAGTGGTGTGTGTGAGCTCTGCAGTGCTCACTGGACAGTTTAATGATGCATTGAAGAATTGAACTTGGCCTGCCTCTCAATATTTACTGTGGTTTATGCTGTAGTAATCACCAAGGACTCCGCCTCAGAGGACCGGACGCTGGCTGTGTGCCGACATTATCAGGAGGAGGTGACATAATGGCGTCAGTTGGGGGATGTTGGTTGTGTTTTCTGCTCCCCCCTGATTTATTCTGAGGCGACAAAATGTGTGTCAAGTCTTGGGAATGACCTGGTTTTCTGCTTTAATCGTTTTCCCCTTGATGACGTTGCTCCGTCCAGCAAAGCATGATGCTCCCTCCGCCCTGCTCCACCTGTGGGATGATCCTTTCTTACACCACACATAGTGCTGCATGTTAATCACAAACAAGGTGTCAAAGATGTATTCAACACGGAGAAGAACGAGACAATGGCATGTTGGGTAATTGAACTTTATTATACTTGCATATGACACTTGATTTTTCACACAGGCGAATTTTAGTCAAGAAACCAAAAGAAAATAGTCGAATCATTTTTTATTTCAGGAACTAGTAGATTAAAATATTCTGCAAATGATGTATAAAGCTCATAAAAAAATTTAAAGTAAAAAATAAAATAACAAATGTTCGTACAGATGCATTGAAACAAAGTCACGGAGATGTCAATCAAACACAGTGTGGTCTGATCAGACGGAATAAGAATTTGCTTGAGTGTCATGTTTCCTCCCATTCTGTCAAACTTTAATGTTCTTAAAGAAGAGTTTTGTTTCTTATTCTTTAAAACACTGATATGTTCTGGGTGTAGAACTTAATCCAATCTCAGTTCACTGAGAAGCGTCAGCGTCAAGACTTCCAGTCGAGGCTTCCCGAGTCATCAACCGATGCGGTGATGTGTCCCCCCGTGTGGTCGTGGACTTTAATTTGAGTTCAGTGGTGGGTCACTGTGTCTGGTCCTGCAGAGCCGAGGTCTGATGGGTTTCTCTCTGAATCTGTCCAGAAGGGGCAGTGGGCTGTAATTACACTGCGAATTAGATGATAGGCAGATTGGTATTAAGAGAAGCAGTTTTTTAGAGTTTAGTCTGATTCACATATTTAATCCTGATCATTTTCTCTAGCAGCTTTATAATTCTGCACTGCGTCAGTTTGGCTCTTCATCAGATTGATACTTGCCTTTTCTCCTGAGATCTTAAAGCTGAACAGAAACAGAAAACAAGTGAAAACAAAATCGATGAAAGAATATGAGCCTTATTTATTTTATTTTTGTGGGTATCAGCCGTAAGAGAATCACATGACCCTTGTTTTAAATACTGTATTCTCTATTGAACACGTGTCATCTGTTTCTCAGGACTCTTGGGAGATCATCCATCAGACAGCGAGGCAGAGTGTTGCGACGTCCGATGGGACTCCAGAATGGACAACCCTTCTGGCGGGACTTTAAAAAGGACTGCTTCTTCCTGCCAGCCCGAGGGGGCCTCGGTCACCTCCGCCGCATCCCCGAGACTGTGCAGCGGGCGACTGAAGATCTGCCTCTTGGCCCTCGTCCTCCTACACACTGTTATCGTCATTTCAGCCTCCCATAATTCCACATTGGTGGGCATGGCTGCCTTTTTCTCACCGGAGGAGAGTGCTTCTAACGAGGAGTGAACCTTGGGGTCGAATCAAGGTCAGAGCTTGTAAAGAGTGATGTCGCTCGAGAGGATTTTACGGCTTTTACATTTTCATCGCTGCCAGGGACACATCTGGCGAGACACGGTGGGAATGCCTCTACAATCTACTGCAGATGAACCATCAACCACAGGAAGTGGGAGGGTTTTAACTGGAGCTAAGGGTGCTGGGACTGGACATAGACAAACCAAGACGTTTGAGAACCACTCCCCTAAAGAACTGACCTCTTGCCACTTGAAACCTGCTCATTGTTTCTATTCCATCCAAATGTTTTCTAGCATATTGTCCCTCCTCTCCTTCCCTCCCTTCCTTCTCTCCACTCTCTCCCTCTGTTTTCAGTGTGTGTGTGTGTGTGTGTGTGTAGCATGTCAGATCTTTACTAGAGCCCGACCGATTTATCAGCTCCCGACAAAAATCAGCCGATACGTGACAAATCTGCACCAGCTTTATTTCTGCCATTATTAAAACTTATATTTCACAGAAGAAACAAAGCAGAATATGTTTATTTTCTTAAGTCAAGTTCTACATATTTTGTTGTGTGTGAGTTTTCTTTTTATTTATAGATATTTATTACAAAGTTTATGGTAATTGGTAAAATATCAAGCCTCAATTACATTTCTTTTCCCGATATATCTGTATTTGACATTTTTTACTGCCTAATATTGGTATCAACCTCGAAAAATGCATATCGGTCAGGCTCTAATGATCACCCTTTACACTTTTACTGCTTTTGTTTTTTCCAGGTGCCAGAATGTTTTGACATCAACTGTGTTTCACTTTCTTCTCTCCATCATTCTTCTGAACTACCTTGTGTGTGATGTTGCTGGAGCTTCTGCCTGGACCAGCTCACCTCTCTCCTTCACGTGGGGTCTCTGAAAACAATACATCTTTGTGATTCCTCTGTACTCCGATGTCCAGCTGGTGTTTTGTCCCACGAGATCCTTTTTTCAACCAATGACGTGACATGCCTCCATGTTTTAGGACCTTAAGTGCTCTGAGACTGGCCGTGCGCTCGCTCTTCTCTAACTTGTCGGGAGATGAAGGTTCAGCTTGTGGTTACAGGGTGGCGGTGAAGCGGTGGTTAAGCGGTTTACCTCAGACAGTGGGGTTGGGTATTTGCAGTTGCCAGGACATGCATGAAGTCAAAATACCAGGGGCCTCATTTATCTACCAAACAATTTTCTACACAAAGGATCCAACGTGTAATAGTAAAAGTCCATTCAGGTTTTTATTTGATTCATCTACACCATTTACCTTAAATATTACCTTAAACCACATCGTTTCCATATATTTAAACTACTTGGACGTTCATAGGGATTTCTGTGCCCACATTAGTTATTTTGGTGGCGTCTGTATTCATGTGCACATGTGAACAGATGAGATTAATCAGAAACACCATTTTACTCTCCATGTAGAACTCGTCCTGTGCTTGGTTGGATAAATGAGGCCCCGGGATCTTGGAGTAGCCAATGAAGCAGATTCTGGCAGTGGAGCAATATCGAGAAGAAAACAGCCAGTGTTAGCGTTCGCTTCGTGGCCTCTTTGCTGCCGTCGGCTCAACTTTTCAGTATCGTAGTTGTGCAAGTGCCCAAGAACCATTCAGTCAATCAATCAATAGTCGACTCTAGATGTCCCTCACTGGCAAAGGGCTGTGCTAGTGTCAGCGCACGAGGAGTGGGAGGAGTTTTAAAGGGCTGATCCATCCCATTCCTATGTGTTTTTTTCTGCGTGGCTGCTGCTGCTAAAGTGCACGTTGACAATGAGGACATGTCACGAGAGGATGAGGAAGCAAGAGACGGGACAGAAAGCAAGATTTATCCCAAACTAAAGCTGTTTTCAGACGTGACCTCCGGAGGATGTCCACTGAATTGGGTTTGGACTTTCTCCGGAGTTTGTCTTTCACACGTGAACAACGCAGCTTTAGTGATGGGGATGCTTTTTGTCCTGGTTGCCTCTTGTGCTCAGTTACCGACAGACTGGAGTTGTAACTTCACCTGGTTATTGACGTGGTATTAGTGCCTCCTCCCTTCACAGCTTGACTTTACCTCGCCTCACTTACAGTAATGACCATTGATTTACTCGTCTCACACACACACACACACACACNCACACACACACACACACACACACACACACACACACACACACACACACAGCATCAGTGCTGGATTTTCAGTTCATTAACTTGTGTTAATCTTACGCGATGTTGTTTTATTTGTTTTCCTCGACAAACTGGTGAGAGCTACACTCCCATGAAGACAGCAGCGGATGTAACAGGCCCTCACTCTGTGCTCCATCCCTTCCATCTCCAGCTGTTCATGATCTGAGTCCTGTGGATCTATGCAGACGAACCCCACCCCGCACTTCCCCACAAACCACCACCACCACCACCCACCCACCCCCTCGTCCTTTCTGTTGTAAATATGTCCTGAGGATGTGGGATCCCAAAAATGGCTGTCCCCCCCACGCCCCCTCTCCCACACCCACCCACAGTTGGAATCTCAGTGTTTTTCTTTTCGCCTCCTCAGTTTTTGTCTGATTTCTTTTTTTAATATTTTTGCCGCATTTTTCTGTTGTCTAAAGCAGTGGTGTGAGTTGATGAGTAGGACTAAGTTGGATGTTAAAAAGAAGAGAAAAAGAGGTCTTACGAAAAATATACAAAAAAAAAGCTTGAATTGAGAAAAGGGTTCAAATATAGAGAACAAAAAATACGTCATATTGTCATACTAGAGATGCTTTAGTTTGCTAATTTACTTTCTTTTTTTTCTACAAAAGACTTGGATGAAATTATTTATAAAATGCGTCCCACAAGTCATGATCTTTTTTGGACGTTAAACAAATACATTTATTAACATTTTGTTCAAAAGAAAATAAATATAAATTATGTTAAACATTACTGGTGTTTGTATTTCCTTCACGCTCTGTGTCTTTGACGTCTTAAACTGGCCCCCATGGTGGCCCCGAAGCGCCAAACACAGCGGCAAATCTGAAAATACAATATGGGAAAGGGCGGTACCTGCTGTCGACAAGGATTGTTGCTTATTGGACGAATGGATTGTCCGTCTTTCTAACAGGAAGGAAATGCTGCTTCCATGTTCCTTTTTTGCTTCAGTCGTGCGGCACCAAAGCCATGCAGCGAGGTTCTTTCCCGCTAAAGAGATGCACAGGTAGACAATAATGTCGTTGTGTTTATTATCTGTTGTTGTTTTGTTTGTTGTACTTTTTGTTTTGTTGTTGTGTTTTATGATCTGTTGTCAGGTTTTTTAAATTTCCATTGGGTTTTTTTTTGGTCATATTTTCTTATTTGTTGTTGTGTTCTTATTTAAAGAATTCAATATTGAACAGATTGGAGCCTGTGAAGCATCCTGGTTTCTCTTGTCGGCCAGCAGAGGGCAGTATAGCATCATATTTATCTATGCCATTATGTCATAGGTATCAGTTTTGTAAATACACCCAATTTTTTTCAAGATCCAAGAACCATTTTATAAGAAATCAAAGAAAATGTTAAAGATTGCAAACAATTACAGAAGAAAACATTGATAAAATCTCCTATGATTAGACATTTTGTTGTTATTCATCATTAGACTCAAAAAGCAGAAATAAAGAGTTTAGTGTTTCGTGATAATCCGACCAGTAGTTTTCCATAAACAGTCAATTTCATCCAGCAGCCAGGCCTATGTGTTGGCCACAGGTTGTTTATGTGAGAGGATATTAGGCCATATTGACTGGTGGGAGTATATGTGGAGATTTCTACTCATGTTAGTCGTTTCCCACAACTTCAAACAACTCCACTGGACTCAAATACAAACACAGGATGTAGATATGTGTGACAAAATGTGTTTTTCAGATTTTAATTTATCAATAATTCAACCAGATGTTAATGATCCTGAGAAACCTGCTCAGGTAACATAGCTGTGCGACATGAACTTTGTAATCAAGCCTGAATCGGGCTGTTTCTTTATGGCTCTCACCCTTTCACACATGTCAAGGCCGACCAGCACAGACTGAACAAACCTCAACGTGCCTGTAGATAACGTTAAAGAATGCACAATTACACAGGAGCACATCAGTTGGTTAAATTGTTTATATCACAGAAGTAATGCACAACTGTTTCCCATCCAAATGTTGTGTAAGAGTTACACACATGAATACCACAAAAAGAAGAACGGCCTATTATAGCTTCTTGGCGATGGGACAGGTTTGCCGGCTGAAGATGTAATCAGAGAGGCAGGAGGGCATGTACGACATCGGCAGCCAGAAGAGCTTGGCGTCCCAGCCCGGGGAGTAGCGGGTGCGGGGCCGGACCGCGGACACAGCGTGCTCCATGCAGCCGACCACCTTCATCAGATCCCCGTCGCTCATCTTGGGGATTTTATCATCTATTATTTCTAACGCTAGGAGGGAAAACAAGTGCAACAGATTAATGTATTGATGAAATGAAAGCAAGGAAATTAAGAAAGGAGATATGACGGAGCATCAGGGCCACTTGAAGGGAAAAAGATCGGAGAATAATGTCGTTCTCCCTGGTGATGATCCAGACTCACTCTTTGGCAGATACTCGGCTCCGTAGTCGTCTTTGACCTCCTGAGGCAGCTTGTCCCACAGCATCTGGACATTTCTCTTCAGGATGGCGCTGTCAGTCACGTTGGTTTTGAAGAAGCCGGGTTCGATGCAGAGGACTTTGACCCCGAAAGGCTTCATATTCACCCTGAGTGAGACATTTCATTTCATCAGTGCTTCTGTTCTAACGAGGATCCTGACGAGTAATTTGCTCTGTGGATGAATGTTTCACCTGAGGCTGTCGTTGAAGGCCTCCACGCCATACTTGGAGATGGTGTACGGGCCTCCAGTTGCACTGATCCTCCCAAACACGCTGGCCACGTTCACCACCCTGCCTCTGGCCTTCTTAATCAGCGGGAGGACGCTCAGGGTCACAGCGATCACCCCGTTCAGGTTCACGTCCAGCATTGACTTGAAATCATCAATGGTCAGCCAATCATTCGGGGCGGAGGGAATGGACACGCCTGCATTGTTCACTACAGCCCATAAACCTGGAGGACGACAGAGGACCAATTTAACTTTCACCCCTGTCCTACTTGTCCCCAACGTTCAATGAATACGTGCATTCAACAAATGAATACGCGGACGTCCCACAGTGTGAAAAAACTGAAGAAATCCAACAAATCAAGACAGAAATTGACTTAAAGACAAACATGAAACCAACGCAAACTAAAAGGATTTGTGTCCAGACAAGAGACAGAAAAACTGTGTGTATCTTCAGGTTGAACTGCAGGAGGTGAAAGGTCCTGGTAAAAAATCAACCAGACGCCTGCAGCAGATCCAAAGTCCAACACACAGAAAGTGTGTCAAAGGATCGTGTTGTGGTCGAGGACAATAGATTAACATCATATTTCTGTTTAGAAATCACTAAATAATTACTTCTGTGTTTACCTGGACACTGAAAACTCCTATAACCTCCTTTTGTGTAGAATAATATGTTCTTACTCGTCTTTAAAGGACTAAATAAATCCAGAAGAATGAATATTATTGATATTAATTAACTGGATATTCCAGTTCTGCTGAGAAATCCCTCATGAATAATCAGGTTTGGACGCTTTGGCTTCACTTTTGAGGAGCAGTCCTGTCGGCCATCTTTATTCACATAATGTTTGATTCTATTGTGTCTCATTTCCTGAAATTCCACATTTCAGAAGATAGTTAAATGTTTGACAGAGCTGATGCAGAAAACCGAGATCCAAAATCCTTATCTGAAACTTGAGCCAGAGCAAACGTATAATGGTTAATGATGGACTTTACTACGTATAATCCAAGCTTTAACTGTGACCTGATGGCCACCACGCTCACCTCGCTCGCCCACTTTCTCCTTGATAGCTGCTGCCACTTTGTCCACGCTGTTCTTAGACGTCACATCGAGGTGCGTGGTGGTCAGGCTGCTGGAGCAGGACTTCTTCAGGCCCTCCTCTCCCTTCTCCGTGAAGCACGCCGCGATCACTCGGAACCCCTGCTTGTCCAGATGGCGAGCCAGCAGGTTGCCGAAACCTGAGTCGCAGCCGGTGACGTACACATACTTGCTGCCTTTGTCAGGGACCCTTGACAGCTCCCTGAACCAGCGGTACAAGTAGAAGAGAACCACCAGGCCCAGGAGGTACAGGTACATGACTGCAGGAGCACAGAGGAGGAGACCGTTAATCACTGAGCTATATAAACAAGCGTGTGGCAATAAATTGTGCAACAGGATGATAAAGAGTTTGACTCAGTGGGCATTATGGGAAACAGGTTTGAGTTCCACTTTATGCTTCTTTCAACCGGCTGCAATTCAAAAGGAAATATTGTCCTAAATAACAAAAAAATAATAAAGTATTATTATAAACTAGTATTTAACATTTTGTGGCAAACGAATGTACTTCCTGTGCTTAAAAAACGTTTTCCGGCTTTAAAGCCTAAATATGAGCATTATAATATCAGATCAAATAAAGTATGATGATAAAATATCACAAACGGATGCATCAAAGTGAATAATCCAATAATTTCATAACACAAAATATGACATTTCTCTGTAAAAGGACGTAGGACACTTTAACTTCCATATGGCCTTTTCAAAATAAGAACTCAGAAGGAAACATGTTTTTTACTGCATTTACTTCTTTTGTTTATAGAATTATTTTCATCTCAAAAACCTAAACAGGAAAATTATATCA